AAGTACTCCAGAGTGTTGTTCAGGTGAGTAGAAAATGAAGGCTAATCATGTTTTGGGTGTACTATTCCTTTAAACAGACCGAACCCATCAAAGTTAGGGGGCGGTTATCTAACACCTGATTGGTCACCCTGCACATTAAGGCGAAGCAAATCGATTACAGAGACTCGATTCGCGTTAACCCCGCCCCCTGACTTTGATGGGTGAGTTTGACAGATTCTTTTAATGGTTTCGATGCACTGCGGCACAGGACCATGAAATAATTAAATGCACACTGAAATAATTAGATATATTTTTTGAATAAAATGAAGACGTATTTTATTAAATTAATGACACATTTATATATTTAATTCCGTATTTATTTAATGAATTACACATTTAATTAATTGTTTATCGCTGTATTTATTTATTCAATTGTGGCACTTTATATTAGTGACGTGGTTTTAATTAATGAATGACACATTTATTTATTTAATTCCACATTTAATTAATTATTGACACATTTAATTGTTTATCGCTGTATTTATTTATTTAATTTTGGCACTTTTTATCCTCCATAGGTAAGGTGCTCTCTTTCTGTTCTATATTCATTGTTCTGATCATAGAGGCGAACAGATCAAAGCTGGTTTGAGGATCTCTATTTTTGTTTATTTTCTCCTCTCAGATTAACAAGAGGTGTTAAACTCTGATAAACCCATTTGTTTAAACTCCAAATAGACTATTAAACTGAATCTAAACACCTTTTAAACCTGAGAAACGAACAAAATGAGCTAAGAAGTTATTCATCCTTTGAAATGAAATCTGATGGATTATGATGCTGATTGTTTCCTGCACTTAAAATAATTTGACACGGCTGATTACACTATGTAATAACATAAATCAATGGATTTTTTTTTCTAAAAGCTGGAAGCAGCTCTGAATCCTACTTCCAAATGTGTTGGAGAGCGGCTTTCCTCTCTGGAAACATCAATCTGCCTCCCGTTGCTCTCCGCAAGGCCGAGGCCAATCTAAAAGCTTGGCGGAAAATCGAAACCAGGTTTAATGAAATGGACGATGGGCCCAACAGGGCGTTGTTTCAGGGAGGATGAAAACCTTCTAAGGGTGAGCACGCCCCCCCACAGTGAATCCACAAAAAAAAAAGAAAAACTCCCAACTCTCACAGACTGTTAGCTTCTGTTTCTGCACCACTAAGCCTCGGTCCCTCGGCTATCAGTCATTTTCTGCAGTCCAGGCACGGGGGGTGGGGGGGCTAAGCTCGCTACAGCAACAGAGACTCAGTTATAGAAAAGCCTCTAGTACTAATAATACATACAGAACAAAAACACAGTAAATTACACTTGCACTGGTTTGCAGGACAAGCTAATAAATATTAATATGTTAATTTCAGGTATAAAGCCAGAGGGAATTATTTAAAGCAACCAAATGCAGCCTTATAGCTTCTGCTGCTACATTTTGCATGGACACCCACAGAGGGCTGTGGGGATGCTAATAAATGACCTACACAAATATCTAGCACAGCATACTTTAAATAAAACAGAGTTCCATTCATATTTATTGGCAACTCTAGAAAAATAATATGAGCAATTTTCTTTCCTTCAATGCTTCTAAAAGTATTGTTAGGTTTATCATTTATACATCATGTGCATTGTTATTCTGTTAGCCAGATTAGACAGAGTAGAAGGCCTTCCTTCACATTGTGGACGTCACTGTGTTTACGGAGGCCATCTAATCAGGGCGGCCTTCGTGTCTTTAGAAATACACAGGATATGGGAACATCTTGGAGCCGGTCTGATAGAGGAGAGCTATCTGTAACCCTGAAGCATAGAAGCAAGCTGCATGAAGTTCAACACATGGATGGCGTGTCATTTTCTGATACGGACAGCTAAACATCAACATGATGCAACACATAGACTCATGAGCTATAAGAAGCAGGAGATGACCTCGTTTGGGGCTCAATCTTTGCCGGACGCTCGCGGACGTGATTTTTGAGCCCACAGCTGTGCAAGCTCCAAGGATTTTCTTTGTCCTGTAACGACCTGATCTGGAATAAACTGTTATTTTTTACTCCTGTTTTATAGTCCTTTTCATATGGTTTTACCCAGTTTGAGTTAAGAGTAGTAAAGAACTTGCTCCCAGGAAAAGAACTGGTGAGGAGGCCCCCGGGGCGCAACAGCCTTTTTTTTTACAAGCGGACAAATCCTCCTTATTTTAACAGCATCATTTTGATCTGTCGCACTAAAGAGGACAAAAACATAATATTTCCCAATTTTAAGCTATCTGGTATTTTATTGAACGTCTCA